CGCAAGGCCTTTGAATTTCGGTTCAGCGTGTTGTTCGCTGGTGCGTTGATTACTGGTCTTCGTCTGGCCTCTACCCGTTGACCTTTCAGGCATGATTGGATCTACGGCTGTGAGAAGCCATTCTGTGTAGCTCGCACGATCACTAAGGCGCGCAAGCCATCACACCACGTCAAGGTGCAGTCTCGTCGTGATGGAAATTGTGGCATACTGCAACAAATAAGCCGTAGCGAACAAACAGCGGCGACACTACCAGTGTGGTGGGTTTCGGGCTGGTCGCATGGCTCCTGTTTAAAAGCCGCATAAGCCCAATGACAGTGACCGGGGGATTTGGCTGGTCTTTTAAAACCAAAGTCATTGACCGCCCTCAGTTCCGAGATGAGGAATTACTTGCAGTTCGCAGCTGGTTGTGCAAAGGTTAGAGGTGCGCCCTCAAAATAAAAAAAAACGCTGGGGAGGTCTCTCGTACCAAACTCCCAAGGGACTTCAAGATCATGATCATATCTGGAGTCAGCTTATTCTTCCAAGGAGCCAGCCACAGTAAAGTAAAGGAAGTAAGTTTTCTCCCTCTTGGATTATGTCTTGATGGAGAAATCCCGTTGACTGTACAATAAGTTGGGTTTATGTTCACATCGAAGCGGTTGCAGTAACCAAGAACTGAGTCGTCGGATTTATGTGTCTCTCGGCTTCAATTATATGCCAAAAGCTTTTGAATATGCCATCCGGTTTGGGTATGGTGACTAAAAATCGCTTATTCAACGAGCCGCACACCTCAAGGTCAACTTTCGAAGGTCAGCTTGTGTTTGCATTAAATTTTCAGGTGTTTCAGGATAATGCGTGAGTAGTTTCTAGCCAAATAATTTATGCTAGAATATTTTCATTGATTGGCTTTTTTTACCGCGCACTAAATGAAAAGAGATAAACTATGTAGAACAAGTGTTCGATTCAATAAACACTCTCACGAAACAGGAATCATTTATTAGAAAGACTGAATTCCCGTGCTGCTTTTCATAAAATATTTTCCAAATCTGAGCTGTAACTTTCGAACTGCTACACATTTTGTCACAACAATCTAGGTCACGCAAATTCAAACGGTGATAGAAGAGAAATAAGAACATAGAAGTGGGAGATGCCGTTTGGAATAAATACACTTTACCCATAGCCATCAATATACATGTGTGATATTGAAGACTGAGTTGTATTTCCAAAATAAGAGTGATGTTACCTAAGTTTGATCAATACCTGTATACCGTTCGTGTGATCATGATATCCAGATGAGCAGATGAGCTCAAACCGACGGGTCCCGGATCTCAAGCCCACACTAGCTAAGTAATGCCGATGATGGGGAGGACAGACCGGGAACAAAGGTAAGGATAGTGCTCCACCATCACCACCAGTGGTTCAGACAGCGTAACCCCGAGGCAAACAGTGCATTTATGAAAAGACCGGTTTGGTAAAATGCAGAATGACAAGTGAAAAGGGAACTTACTTCGTTCAAATTGTGCCGGGTTTTGGCGGAAGTTTCAATGTACGGAATATGCCAGTTTGCGGCCAATTGGTTTGGCATTTCGTAAGGAACAGTTCGTTCGTCGATCAGATCGTCTTTGTTACCAATCAAGACCATGGGAATTGCACACGGGGCACGGCATTGGATAATTCTTTCTCTTTTTATTCGATCGGGAATTGAAGAAGAACAGGCGAAGACAGAAAGAATTGTACACAGGCGGTAAGCTGGGAAGACGAAAAAGTAACACTACTGTTTGCAGACCATGTCAAAATATGGAATACAGTAACAGAACCCGAGGACTCGCTATCACTTCAAGAAACACATAACGGGGCCTATAAATGATCTACGGAGAACGACATTCAATTCAATGTTTCGAAATGCAAAATCCTATCCCACAGGAGTAGGTTCTCGTATTCCTTCGGAAATCGCCAGCTGCTACACACCTCTCTCTCTCTCTCACACACACACACACCGCGACAGTTCGGTCAGTCCTGCTATACGATGCAGAAACTTGGCCATTAAGAAAACAGGATAAAGACAGACTGTCGGTGTTTGAACACCGCTGTCTACGCAGCATTGCACGAATCTGGTGGGGTAGCCGGATGAGCAATGCTGAGGTTAGGGACAGAGTTTTGGGTAAATACGGTCGCCCACTGGAGCAAGTGATCGACCTCCATAGATTACGTTGGCTGGGACATGTGCTACGCATGTCACCAGGTAGGTTTCCACGGCGAGCGATGTTCGCCGAAGAAGATACAGAGTGAAAAAAGCCAAGGGTGGTCAAGTTAAGACCTGGCACGAGGGTATGAAAACCCTAACCAGGAAACTGGGTCACATAGGTCCTGTTAGGCTCCCTGGGTGGGGACCTCGAGATGATCTTACCCGATGGTTAGAGAAACTGAGTGATATGGCTGGGTGTCGTAAACAGTGGCGTTCGTGCATCTCAATTTCTTCCCAACCTTAGACCACTGAACTTCTCCATTTTCTGTTCGACTCCACTTTCAACTTTCCTTTCTTCTCCTATTCTTCATTCCAATGGGCAGCCAAAAGACAGCAACCAAAACCGGCGCACGAATATGCCCGGTTAATGGTTGTACAAACTGAAACTGAAGCTGATGCCACAATTTATTCACAGCTAATCGTCTTCTGTGAAAATATCCCCCTACCCACTACCCGGGGATATTTTCA